TTACCATGCTGCATCCTCCTTGAACTTGGTCTCTTCTGGATAAGCTTCCTTGAATAGATTAATTTCCTTAACCGAATATAGCAAGAATCTGACTATTGGCAACTTGATAATTCCTATCGGCCGATTCCAGGACTCTAAAGCCGATACTGACTTTAGGCCGATGATGACTTCGGAGCTTACCAAATTTCACTGTTAACACAATCTTTGCAATAGCTAGATGCAACTGTAGAGGATCTAAAATGCCATGAAAAGGGTTAAATTATCAAAGGGTGTAACATGGTGTGCTTACGTGATGTGAACATCACTCCTTCGGATACACACAACAATCCTCCAACGGTCATTCAAGGACCGATAACAAGAGCTCGTGCGCGACAATTGAATTTAGAGGTGAGCTCGTTTCTATGTTCTTCTTTGTACGAATTTTAGAATAGATTGCTACCTAATGATTATATTGTGATTAGAAACAATGGAGGGGACAAGGAGACACTTGGAGAAGGACTTAGAGTCATGGAGGATCATCGAGGACGTCCAAGTCAAGGTAGAGGTCCAAACCAAATCGACTTCGAGTGCAACTCGGAGTTCAGGACCAGTCTACACTAAAACGGGTGCCCAGGTCGCATACGTGCTCGGATTGGGGCGATCTTTATATGGATGGAAAGCTAAGATTCTAATGCTTTTATTCCCATGTCCAAATTCTTTTCGAGTCAACGGGAATCGACCGAATAAGTTGACGTCCAGAATCTGTCCCGGTGTTGCGTCACCGTATTTGGGCCTTTGGGCCATGTATCGTGTTGGAGGCCATTAGGGCTGCATCAAGGGTTGGTTGCATGACCCTAAACTCTATATATCAGTACCCGCCATCATCTTTAGGGTTTGGGTTTTGCTTAGATTATTCTATCTAGAATAGTTTCGCCGCTAGATCGGTTTGTAAGACCCCAACTCTTGAGCTTAATCATTCATCTGCAATTTTGGTTGTATTCTACCTTATTCTTGTTTGTGTTCTTTGATTCGCAAATAGGGATTAGCCTTGTCGGCAAGGTCATCTGCGTTTTGGTACGGGTGATAACTAGAAGAGACATGGTGCTGCGATTGCGGGGCTCAAGAGCGTGCGTGTTCAAGAAGCCGGATCGATTTGTGTCGTGACTCCACCCAAATCGTTGATTATCAGAACATTTCGGAAGATCGGGAACCCTAATCCACATCATTACGGGCTTCACGGCCCGCTTAATCACAACCGTAGTTATACATGTATTTATAGTGTATTGGTTCTTATGTGGGCTAACAAGCTGTGTACTTTAAAATTATCTACTATATTTTTTTCAGCTATGTTTTAGGTTGTAGTTAGATATATTCTACTGCACGCTTTATTTTCATAATCCAATATATTAGCCCTACTTTTATAGAGTAGCCACTTAAGAATAGGTCTAATCGATATGAGCTTGCATACTCATTGTGGGTCACATCTGCACGTTGAGTTGAAGAGCCCGAGTGTGACTTAGCAAGCTTTTCACTTTTGGCCATGCACTTTGCACAACCTCGGCTCAACAAAGCCTATCCAGCTCCACTTCTAGCCCACATATATGTTTAAGTTTCGATATACAGAGTTCTTATGTAGTGTTCCCATATACAAACTTTCTATTTATATAGTTTCTATACCACATGTTGAAAGTTTTAATGTATAGTCTTTGAGCGGAATCTTTCAATATTAAGATGATAGTTATATGATTTTGAGAAGAAACTTTCAAATATTCGGTTGAAATTTCATCATTTTGAGTGGAAAAAGTTTCTTATATCTATTTGAAATTTCATATACACAATTTCTACATCGAGAAGTTTTGATCTCACTAGAGAATACCAAGAACACAATATAATCTAAGCCTGGTTGGAATCAATCAATATGCAAACACCAAGAACACAATATAATCTTCACGAGAAGAATGTACATGTTGGACTTTATTAACATTGATATCAATATAAAAGTTGCATTAGACTATCATATAATTGGTGTCGCATTGGTTGAGCTGATTTTTTTATGACATGCTTCATATACTAAGATTTTTTTATGACTATTCAACATATGACATGCATAATGTATTTGTGAGAATGATTATTCTTGTACTCCTGTCCCAAGACAACATTGATACTTGCTAAGATGACACTCAAATTACAGAAGAGAAAAAAGGGAAAGCTAATAATGATGCTTCTTGGACTGAATTGATACATCTTCAGTTGGAGATAAGAAGCCTACTAAATATGAAGCTTCTCACTAAGGTGTAAATACAGTTTTCACTGAAGATGTGCACACTATAACAATCTCACAATCACCATGAGATGTTTAAGCACAATATTCACTAAAGATGTCCATAGTTCCCAAATACAGTCAATCATCAAGAGATAACATTTTTTCTGTGAACACTAGTGGAGATCTAGATCATAACAACACTAGGGGAGATCTATCACCGTGTGACCTTCAAATGTCCTCTTCAAATCAAGAATCCAAGTTTCCTTTAAAACTACAAAATATAGCTATAAAATTCCATATGAGTATGTAGGATCGAACACAAGAACTAAGCCTATCAGGGAATGAATGGTAGGAACACTAAAAATTAAAATCTGTTTTTTGCAATAAAAATAAATCTCTGACCTGATGGAGTATGGTCTGACCAGCAATTGGCCGCTGGTCTGACCACCCTATCACTCCTAGTCAGACTGTATGCTCACCACTGGTTGGACTGCTCGCAAATTAGGCTACCTATGTGCCGTTGGATGGATGGCCCACCTAATGTTAGCATAACTACCGAGATCCAGAAAAACACAGATCAAAGTTGCTCTTAAAAATAGATCGACTTTATTGTATCAAGATGTGTTTATGAAGTGCATCCAATGTGCTCCTCTTAACTGACAAACTAGAATCGAAAGCTCAAAGCAAACCCTAACTTTTCTCTTCAAAAGTTGCCTTACATTGAGTCTCAACACCTCATCTATTTATACCCACAAATTTGATTGTTGATAACCATGAATCCAATTATAATAAGGAATCCTAATCACATAGAAAACACCTCAAACCAGAGATACACAGATCCCTTTAGAACTCCAAACTCCAATTCTCTTAAACTTCGACTCCAATCCAAATTCAACTCATCTTTCTATATGCGCACAATTCCTATTATATGCCATATGAAAACTTTACCTTCATGTGCATTGCTCTTAGTATCACACATGATCTCCTTGATCGTCTGGACCTCAACTTCTCTCAAGTCTAGTCCTGATCCATCATTGGTAATACTACCGAGGCCTCAAGAAATACCTACACATGAACTAACAAAGAAACCATATCCAAGCACGAGTTCTTTCCCAACTTGACTCACATTAGCACGGAACAATATATTTTACGTATAAAGATCAGCTTGAAGTTTTAACATGAAGTAATCAAGATTATCCATAAAGACAATTGAAACAAACTCCGAGCTGGAGTCTACCGGTGAGACCATCGAGCCAGCTGGTCCGACCGCCGTCTAACCTTTAGTTTGACCGCCATTGCCTAGCTAGTCCAACCAGTCTCATTCGGAGAGCAAAACTACTTTGCCCAATCCGACCACCTTTGCCTGGCCTGTCTGATCGATCACACCCAAAGCAAAAACCACTCTGTCCAATAAACCACCATCGTATCTAAACTAGTGTAATCAACTCGCATGCCAATTGTTCATCATAAAAACATTAATCAAGACATTGATTTAACAAGTATCAATAGCGTTTGTCTGAAATACACCCCTTAACTTCAAAACCGGATATAATACATCCCTCAATTCTTAAAACCATTCAAATCACCCCCCCCCTTGTCCTGAAATATGGTGGTTTCGCCAATGTGTGGCGCTGATGTGTCAATCTAAGTCAGCAAAATATATTAGAAAATAATTAATATCCCACATGTCAAACTGATTCATCATCTTCCCTCCTCTCTCTTCCCAAGCCAGAAGCCACCGGGTTGGTCAGCTCGAGCGTTGATGCCGATGAATGCCGCAGACAGCGCAAAGAAGAGAGCCACGCCCCTGCGGACGCCGCCCCTGCGGATGCCGCCTCCGCGGCCCCGCCGCTGTGGCCCGTGGTGGTCGTCGTCTTTGCCGCCCCGCCCGCTGCCGGCGAGTGCGAACAACCACGGCCGGAGGTTCTCGACGAGCCGCCGGTGAAGTGTGGAATGCAAACGCATCGGTTGCTCTCGCTGGACCTTCTCGATGCACCAACAGCGACGGAGTTTCTGTCCTTGCATGGTGTACCGGCGGCGGCAGCCGCCCGGAGCATCACCGATCCTGATCCATGCAAACCGTCCATAGCGAAACCGTTCCACCGTCAAGCATACATCACCGGCAGAGACGAGCTGCTCGCGACGCGCTTCGTCATCTTGCTGTTCGATCGATCAATCAACTCCAGCGGTATGCGATTGCACAGCAAAACGCATCGAAAATTAAATGGGAGCATGCAATTTCGATCGATCAATTAAATGACGCGATCATCACCGGCGGTGACGAGCTGCTCGCCGGCTACGTGACAGTCTTATTCCCATTGATTAATTGCAGAAACTAGGATAGAAACCACCCAGGGGGGTAAACTGCGTGGTATTGAAAGTTCGGGGATGTAAAATACCCGGTTTTAAACTTTAAGGGTATATTTTAGACGAAGTTAAAAATTGAGGGGGTCAAATGGACTTATCCCATATATAAATTAGCAATGATAGTCACTTCCTAGGACTGTTGGTTATGGTTACGAATCGACATTGATACCTTAGTGCCTGTTCTGTCATCATTAACTTCACTGTTAGTTCTTGTTATGGAATCCCTGTAGGTTAATAGTAGTGTTACTACAATTCTAGAGGAATCCACAGTAATAGGCTGCTTACAAAGGACATTTGTTTAGGTTTTATGTCGTCAACACATTCGCAAGAGTAAAATGGAAAGAGGCCATTGAGAAGGGATCTGAAGTGCAAGAGAGACCAGTGGCTTACTGGGTCACCAAACTTAAGAAATCATCATGCTGATGGTATGTGCTTAGCAAACCATTATGGATCCTAATAGACTGATTTCCCTATATCTTTATCACTTGATTGAATGTCCTCCATGTGCAAAAGGGTTTTGAAGTACATAAGTACAAACTGCCGAAAATTAGACCCAAAACCCTGAATTTCCTACATGTGTTTTTGAGTTCAGTTCAGTTCTATATGGACTCACCTCTTGTTGTCACCCTTATCACGTAATTGCACCGGTGCTAAGCACTTCAAAACATACAAGGCGTTATTACTCTGGTATCCGATTCATCGGCCGCGACTCAGAGTTGGAGTTGGTTGTTCTCTGCTCAAACTCTCCGGTGAACTCCTCGGAGGCGAATGCGATACGACGGAGTTGCTGGATGTCAGCAGCGTCGCTGCCACCAGTGAACACTTGGCTCTGCCCCACCTTGATCCCATTGCTAAGGTCCGTCATGCTCCCCTCATCTAGTACCCGCATCACCTGCACCATCCGCGGCCGTTTGGGAGCGGAGTGGCGAACACATGCGGCCGCTGCTTCCACCATCGTCATCATCTCATTGCGGTTGTATGCGCCCTCTAGCCGTGGATCAACCAGCTCACTGAGATCACCCGTCTCTACCGCATCCGCCAGCACTGGTCGTGCCTGCAAAGAAGAGATGGCGTTGTATATAAGGCAAAAAAGACAAATTTTAAATCGAAAGTGCGGTGGCGGGTGGGGGTAGGAGGAGATACGGAAAATAATTCTAATCCCTCGAGAGGATGTTCTCTCGTGTACCTTTTTTCCAAACTAAATGCAATTAGTTATAAAAATTTTAAAAAGAAATTGACAATGTAAAATATAATGACATCTATCACTCTACCAAAAATTAAGTTCAAATTTGTCCTACACATTGAGGGAAAAACATCTCAATGTGTGAGTTGGGTTTAGATCTAATTAAGATTTCGTGGAGTGGTATATATATATATATTGTATAAATGTTGTGAAAGTTTTTGAGACTTTTTTATATCTATTTTAATGGTAGAACGTCCCCTCGACGATCAAAACATACCCATTCGACGAGGCTCTCCTCTCCGAGGGGCTGCGTCTGGTCAACCGGCTTGCGGCCGGTGATGAGCTCCAGTAGGACGACACCAAAGGAGAAGACGTCGGAGCGGTCCGTGAGCTTGCCGCTGGAGGCGTACTCTGGCGCTAGGTACCCGAAGGTGCCCATGATGCGCGTCGACACGTGAGTGTGCGTATCATTCGCCAGCTTCGCAAGCCCAAAGTCTGCCACCTGCGCCACCATGGATGGAAGCATCAAACACCATGGAACTTTGAATTGAAGATGGCAGCTGGCTGGGGAGATCGATGTACTGTATATGCGTACCTGTGCTTCCCACGAGTAGTCCAGTAGGATATTGGCGGTCTTGATGTCCCGGTGGATAATCCGCGGGTGGCCTATCTTGCCAAGGAGAGAACAAAACGCCTTTTTTCCAGTGTTAGCTAGGTGATGTGTAACAGCATATAAGATAGATCGATGAGCGTCAATGTGGATCATTAAACTTACAGTCCTCGTGTAGGTATGCTAGCCCCTTGGCTGCACCAATGGCAATCCGCAGCCTCGTCGGCCAGTCCATCACTGGCATGCCACGGCCTACATAGAAGGACATTAATTAGTTGTAAGCTGCAAACATGGTTTCTAATTTTGTTTTGCATATTTACGTCAAGGGGCACCGGAATTTTTTATTTTTTTTGAAATTTGAATAAATTTTAACCATTTTTTTTCTAAATGACAAAAAAATATATTTTTTTCACAAAATATTAGTGGTGAAATAGTGTCATGCCGCAGGCTGAAATTCCCAAAACTTCGAACAGAGTGCAAACACTGGCTGTAAAACACCGGCACCTATGTCCGGGAGTATAGGTGTCGGCTGAAAAACCGGCGCCGGTTTCCAACTGAAACCTATTAAAGTTTGTGTACTAGTGTTATGAATTGATTAATTAATTACTTACCATGAAGGTGGTGTTCGAGGGTGCCGTTGGGAACGAACTCGTAGATGAGCATGCGGTGGTGCGCGGCGATGCAGTAGCCGACGAGGGAGACGAGGTGGCGGTGGTGGACGCGGCTGATGATCTCCACCTCCGCCTGGAACTCCCGCTCCCCCTGCCCGCTCCCGGCCTTGAGCTGCTTCACGGCCACGCACTTGCCGTCGCTTAGCCACCCCTTGTACACGCACCCAAACCCGCCCTCGCCGATCACGTTGTCCCGCGAGAAGTTGCTGGTGATCCCCGTCAGCTCCTCGTAGCTGAACCGCGACTTGGACCCCGCCGGCCCTGTCCCCTCTCCGCCCGAGAATGTCCCCGAATTGTAGTACCCGCCGCCGTCCGCTGACGCCCCACCGGAGTTGAGCATAATCGCCGACGGTGGTGGGTGGTGGTTGCGGCTTGACCCGCCAAACTGAGACGATGGCACGAAGTAGTTGTTGCCATCTGCATCCGATCATCCGATCACCGTTGTTAATTTAGCTGCGATATATAGTTCACAATTTCTTGTGCTTTTGCATATATAGTTGCACTGCATTGCATATATACCGTAGTGGTAGACCAGCCCATCCATCTTCTTCTTCCTCCGGCTCGACACGATGAGGTAGATGGCCACTATGGCACACAGGAGGCCCGTGACCGCGGCGCCGGCGATGGCGGCGGCTATGTGGCCGCTGCTGCTGGCCTGGGCCGTCGAGCTTACGGTTGTGTGTTGCTGCTGTGACAATGAAGTGTTGGAGGAGCCCGCCGTGCTGTTTCTTCCTCCGGGGAAGTTGGTCGACGAGATGGCGCCGGAGGGCGTGGCGTCGATCACCTGCGGTGGCGGCAGCATTCCGGGAGGGCTGTTCGACGCCACCGGGACGGGAATGAACACCACCGACTGGTTCGCCGCCGACGGAGGTGACTGCGGAGGAGCTTGCTGCTGCCCGCCGGAAGGTTTAGGCGGTTGGCCATTATTGCCGCCACTTGATTGCGGCGGCGATGGCGGCGGCGATGAGCGAGGCGGAGATGGTTCCGACGATGACGCTGACGAGCCACTCGATGGCGGTGGCTGGTTAGAGGACGGAGACGGAGGAGGTGATGGAGTTGAGCCTCCGGACTGGTGCTGCTGCTGCTGCTGCGGAGGGGGCGACCAGTTTGGCGGCGGCGAGGAGCGGCCGCCGCCGCCGCCACCGCCACCATTTCCAGATGACTCGGATGGCGGAGACGGTGCCTCCGGCGAAGACTTGGAACCTCCACCACTCGAAGAAGAAGAAGAAGAAGAAGAAGAAGACTGGGGCGGCGCCGGCGGTGGAGACGAATGCGACTCGGAAGAGCTCCCCGACGGCGGAGGCGGGCTAGGCGAGGACGAGCCTTGTGACGGCGAACTCGAGCCTCCTCCGGAGTCGGAGTCGGAGCTCTGCGACGAAGGAGGTGTCGGGCTAGACGACGACGACCCATTGCTGCTCGAATTATCAGACTCTTCCGGCGGAGGCGCCTTGTTGGAACCATTTCCTGACGACGACGACGACGACGACGAGGGCGAGCTTGGCGAGGGGGCTTGATCCGATTCCGATGACATGTTTCCTCTCCCGCCAGCTGATCAAAATCGTATCAAACAATGCTTCTGGTACGAGAATCATCAACCCACATTTGCTCCCGATCACCATTTCTGCTAGCAGCACATCCCTTCATCCACCACCATCTCCCAGACAGCTAGCTTTTGCAATCTATCAATGGCTCCTCGATGATCTGGACCCAAATCAATATCTCAAGCCCAAGAGGTATTCACCTGGCTGGCAGCAGAGAAAACTGCAGAGAGAGGTGGTCAATGTCGTTGGATGAGTTGTCAGGGGGGAGGAGGAAGAGAATGCGTGAAAAATTGCTGCTTTTGGTCAGGTGGGCATGGAAAGAAACAAGATTTGCTGTCGTGGCCTAAGAATAGGGGACCATAGCGTCAAAAACAGAAGAACCGTTTACTAAAACATGGTTGCGAGCTCTTGCTATGTTTAGCAGCTCAGGCATGGCGATTCTGAGCCTCAAGAATTAGGTAACAGAGGGTGAGTTAATCGTTTACATTTTGGTTCTTCTAATCTTTCTCTCCTTCGGTATGTCAGGTTTTATATATACCTCTGATCCGCCCGATCTATCTCTTGCTATTCGAAAAACTATTGATAGTTTTGTAGATGCATCTCTTAGGGCTTATATCGATAAAAATCGTGATACAATTGAAGATGCTTTTAATACTAGACTTGATGAGTTCTTTAAGAAAACTAGCATGGTGGCCCGTGCAAATTGCGCGGCTAGCATCATTATATTTTCTCATATAATAGCATATATATTTTCTCATTATATTATTCAAATATATTAAAATGACAACATAATTTTAAATTTTGCAATAACTTTACAAAACTACTAATGTGTAAAATTCATATTATATTTTATATACGTGTTAGTTATTAATTATTTTTAATATCAAATTTTAGTTATTTGTAAATTATATATATTCACTCGTCTATTAATATTTCTTTTTTTGTTCATTCCGAATTTTTTGTAAATTGTATTTCTATATAGACTCTATGCTCTTCTTCCAATATTATTTATTTTTATTTCTGATTTTTCATATTATATTTTATATACGTGTTAGTTATTAATTATTTTTAATATCAAATTTTAGTTATTTGTAAATTATATATATTCCTATATGGACTCTAGACTCGTCTTTTAATATTTTTTAATTCCGAATTTTCTGTAAATTGTATTTCTATATAGACTCTATGCTCTTCTTCCAATATTTTTTATTTTTATTTCTGATTTTTTATTATTTCTAATTGTATTTCTATGTGGACTCTAAACTCATCTTTCAATATTCTTTAATTTTTAATTTCAGATTTCAGTTACTTCTAAATTGTATTCCTATATTTGTATTCCTATACTGACCTTCAACTCTTCTTCCCATGTTTTTCTTAATTTATAATTTTAGTTATTTCTAAATTATATTTTTATACGGACTCTAAACTCTACTTTTAATTTTATTATGTTTATTTCAAATTTTAGTTAGTTTTAAATTCCTATATGGACTCCATACTCTACTTCTAATATTCCTTATTTTTTAATTCCAAATTTCTATTTTTTTTCTTAATTGCATTTCTATATGGACTCTATACTCTACTTCTAATATTCCTTATTTTTAATTCTGAATTTCTGTTATTTCCTAATTGTATTTTTATATGGACTCTATACTCTACTTCTAATATTCCTTATTTTTAATTCTGAATTTCAGTTATTTCCTAATTGTATTTCCTTATGGACTCTATACTCTACTGCTAATATTTCTTATTTTTAATTCTGAATTTCAGTTATTGCTTAATTATATTTCTATATGGACTCTAGTCTCCTCTTCTAATATTTCTTATTTTTTAATTCTGAATTTCAGTTATTTCCTAATTGTATTTCTATATAGACTCTAGTCTCCTCTTCAAATACTCCTTATTTTTTAATTCCGAATTTCAACTATTTCTAAATTGTATTTCTATATGGACTCTAATCTCCTCTCCTAATATTCCTTATTTTTTAATTCTGAATTTCAGCTATTTTTAAATTGTATTTCTATATGGACTTTGCTTTTTCTTTTTCTCCGATTAATGTGAGAATTTCTAGACCATGAGAGCGAACGTAGAGGCTCATTTTTCTATTCCTTTAATAATATAATAGATTGGCTCCAAAATAGTCAATTATCAATAATCTAATGCTACTTCCAGTTTTGCTCCCATACAACATGCCTATAGTAACATGGATGGATCAAGGGTATTTACACAACCGATTACACAGGAATAAACTACACACAGAACCTAGCCAACGGTCACACCGCGCATGACACTGGTCAGACTGTTCCCTCTGTGTCAGCCAGACCGTGCCCTTTGTCAGCTAGACTGTGCCTCCTGTGGCCGGTCTGACCGCTTCACTGACTGCCGATCAGACCGGGTCCATGGCTAGTCAGACTGGCACCCTGGAGCTTTCTCAAGATTTTTGTGCCACGTCTAATAGTACTGATTTTGATTGTTATTCATCTCCCATTAATAATGTTAGTCATGTTAATTATTCCACATACACATGCTATTTGCACCAATAATTATGAGACAATCCAAAATCATAGAGTACATGGATTGGCACGAGACAAGCATTATGGCCAGCAGGGGGTTTGCTCTCAAGATCCTGTTGTGCTCACACACTTTAGGCCATTAGATCAAGATGATAATGTTGGTGTGAAAACCCAAATTTAGTCGTTAACACATAATCAATTAAGTCCTGAAGTTTCTCAAGATACACATGAATGCACCATAATTAGGGAAGCTTGCATAATTGAGCCAAAAAAATAAGGCTACTCGAAGGCCTTGTCTTTATTTTTTTATATATATTCCCATATCCTCGTGATTTCAAGGTGCTTGAATTCGTAAAATTTAGCGGCAAGGATAATATGATCACATATAAACACCTAGGCTTTTGCTTGGTTTACTTCATTGCCTGCAAATTCTATCTACACTTGGGCTCAACTAGAGTGCAAATTTCATGATTATTTTTATACTAGTGAAACCAAGCTTTATATTATCTAAGTTAACATCAGTTAAGGAAGAATATGATGAATCTGTTACTGATTATTTTAAGAGGTTTAGAGATGCTGGAAACCAATGTTCTAGTTTGAAACCGATGTTCTAGTTTGAATATAACTTAAAGAATATTCAAGCTCCTGGTTATCTGAATTGGATCCGGAAAAGTAAGTGAACTATGAAAGTTAAGGTTTTTAGATGGTTGCTTCTGATTGACAGATTAAATGCCCAAGATATGCTAGATAGAAAGCATTGTGCATCTCTGAACAGTGATTTAACTTGTGTTCTATGTTCTTCTGGAACTAGAGAAACCTTCGTGCATCTTTTCTTTCAGCTCTCAGAGTTGGGCTCAATTTGGAATAGTCTGGGATGTATCTATTGCTTTTGAGCAAATGTTGCTTCAAGCAAAACAAACTTATAGGTCTTCGCACTTTGTTGAAAAAATTCTCTATGTGGCTTGGAACATTTGGAAGCAGAGAAATGGGCATAAATTATCTTTGATGGTGTGATTCCATCTGTTTCTTCTTCTTGGAGAGCTTTCTTTAAGATTACCTGTAGAAGATAGAAATTTTCTTTCAAACTGGTTAAACCTGTTGTAAATTTATTCTTTTGATCTTTTAATAAATTTATTTACTATGGGGGATTCCCCTACAGTGTTTTTTTTTCCAAAAAAAATATAACTTAAAGAGATTTGGCCCACCTTGCATATAATAGACTGCTTGCATTACTAAAAAATTATTTTTCCTGACGGCCAAAATAGGTTTTCACAAGCAGCCTACAGCACCGCTAGAGACCAAAGGCCAGTGATAATATAGTACTTTCGCTGGCATTTGCCAACTACCAGCGTGGATCCACTTTCATTGGCGGTGTTCGTAAGGTAGCCGCTAGCGAAAATGAATTTGCAAAGGCGGCTATGTTGTATAATCCGCCAGTGATAATCCTAACCCGCGCTAAAAAAAGACGGAGCGACGCTGCTCCGTCCGCCTCTGTCAACCGAAAATTCACAAATCCACAATTTAAATCCATCACATTTAACGAATCCATTACAGTTAATAAATCCAGAAATCCATCACAGTTAACAAATCCACAAATCCACAAATCAACACAATTTACATCACAATTTACAACAATAAATTTATGTTCACAGGTTTTCAACTGGATCAATCCACATCTCCATTCAAACTAATCGGACTAACCAGATTGGATCGTTGTCGCCGTCGTCGAGAGACGAAGATCGAGCACCACCGCCGCCCGTTAATCATATGTTAATCATATGTTGCATGAAGCTCTGGCTCAGGAAATCCGAGTGGATGACAATAGTTTACGTCCTAGCTTAGATGATAATGCAATAACAAGTATAGCTAAACCAAGTGATGATTCGGATTGTGTTACTAGCTTAGACAATAATGCAACTAAAAATATAGAACGAAGTTCGGATTGTATTACAAATGAAAATAATATAATATTATCACCTAAGACCGAACCATAGATCGGTCATGTGAGCATTGGAAAAGAGAGTCTAAAGCAACATCGCATACATCTGAAAGGCCGTATCGTAAACATGTAAGATTCGGTTCCATACCCGTAAGGATTAGATGTGCCCAATTTCACAAAATTCATAGGTGAGAATGCTACAACTACAATGCAGTATATTGACCGATTTATACACAAAATAGTCCGGAAATTTAGCTAAATTTATGGGCGTGACAATTGGAACAACCCAGTAATCGCTAGGACAATTTTTCCAATGTGGACCACTCCTCCAGCACCAGTGGGATGCCCCTCCATTTGGTGCACGCCGCTCTTTCTTGGCTCCATGTTATCGTGATTTCGGCCGAGGATATGCGGACATCACCCAAAAGCTAGGAGAGCTTGATCTCTGGACTAATGAGATGTAGAACACGCTGGATCAGCATGTCCAGGAGACCTACACATGGCAGTAGCATACCGATGGCCTATTGGCAAACATCAGCGCCACCATGAAGCAAAGTCACGCTGACTTGATGGCCTACTTCCACTCGTAGAGATTCAATCCTTATCATAGACTATGAGCAAGAAGCTAGCTTGGGGAAGGGCCCAAGGTAAGTTGTATATTTTATTTCTTTGAATTGCATCTTAAAAAAGATAAAAATTTGTAAAATATAAAAAATACCAAAAATATTTGCTTTCCATACGTGGTAAGACTGCTCTAGTGCTCATGGTTGAAATGATGAATAGTTGCCCTGTTTTATTTCCCTCTAATGCTTAGTTTTACAACCTAGTCTTCACCTAAGTTTCTGAGTTTGTTGGACAAAAAATTTTACCTTGAACTTGAAACTTGTGGGCTGCATATGCATGATCTAAGTCTAGGTTGTTGTGTGGATCTGAGATGGTGAAATAGAGTTGCTATGGTCTTACTTCGGAGTGATACTTGACTTCTGAATGATTTAAGTTTTCAAAAGAATGAAAATTTATAAGTTTCTCAATGATGACAAATTCCTGCCAAAGCCATATGATGATTATATCGCAAAAGCCTTTACACATATAATGCTTGCTATTGCATTGAGCTTTTTCAAATTATTGTGACCCTTGTGAGATTCTTTACACATATAATCATCATACGTGCACGTACCCACAATATATGCATGACCTCAACACTAGAGGTTAGCAAAAACATACCATGCACCCACCATAGTTGCTTTACCTCCACACTGGAGGTTAGCAACATCTCATCGAACAAATAAAATGCTCCATTACATCAGCCAAAAATATCTCACTTTATATATGCAAAAGAGATGGCTGTGATAAAAACAACGAGAAGGCGATAGAGAATAGAAAATATTCTCAAGCACTGTGGAAAAAAAAAGAGTAGTTGCAAAAGAAGTGAATGCTCATCAATGTTCTTGATCTGCATGAGAAAAAAATAGTTAGAAAAAAATGTCATATCTCAAAGTAGGAATAAAATATAGTCAATATATGACAAAGAGTACCACATACCACTTTCTACCATATAGCCACACACTTTGCACATCTTGATCAGATTGTATGATTTGTTTTCTCCTTGATCCTCTTTTCGATTTTGCAATATATGTGATGCAAGAGTATTGCCTAATTATTTTCCCCACCTTGAGCTTCACATATAAACCTTTTAGAGGTAGGATGAAAAAGAGGCAACACAATGTCTTGGTGAGGAATTATACACATTAAGCGATATGAGAATGTCATTGGAGGAACTCTTATTTTATTTAGGAAAAACTACGAATTACCCCCCCCCAACTATCATGGTCGACCGAATTACCCCCCTAAACCCGAAAACCAGACATTCTTCACCCCCAACTAAAATAACCCCCCCCCCCCAAAGCACTGTTTTGAGCTGTTTTTGACTTGAGCTTGGACACATGGCGCCAACGTGGCAATCCAGTCAGCAAAGAAAATTAAAAAAAAACTACTGGCGCCACCTATCATCTCTCTCCCCTCCCCAATCCCTCTGCTCTCTCTCTTTCTCGCTCGCTTGGGTGGCCGATAACGGAGGCAGAGCTCGGGAGGAAGACGGGGTGCGACGCTGCGGCGGGGGGAAGGCAGCGGCCGCAGCAGCAGCTGAGGGGCGAGCTCCGCGCCGGTGGAGGAGGCGGAGGCAGAGAGAACTCAGGCAGTCGGCGGTGGAGGCAGGGCGAGCTCGGGTGACTGGCGTCGTCACGGAGGACATTGCCGTGCAGGAGACAAGGGTGGGGGACAAGCACGGCGGCCGTTCACAGTGCTGGCAGGGAAAGTCGCCGAGGAAGCTCGAAACGGCGGCATGCTTGTCGATTCCTTCCCGCGAGATCCGTCGTGGGCTGCGATTCCTCCACCGACAAATACTTGCGCGGCATCGGCGTTTGTGGCTCGCCGGCGTCAAGATGGAACTCATAGAAGATCACCGACGGGAAGGAGAAGATGGAGAACGACGAGTGGATGCGCTCCGGCGCTGACGAGGCCGTGCGCGTGACTCTGCCGCCGCCGCCACTGCCGCAGCGCGGCGAGAGCGACTCCCGCGCACGCGACAACAGCACGCCGACGGCGCACACCCCCACGTTGAAGATGACGAACCAAACTGCGGTCGATCCTAGCATTAGCCACACCGGCAGCGGCCACCACCGCCAAGTTTGGGCCTCCACGCCACTCTCGACCAGCTCCTCCCAGCGCCGCCGCTGCCGACGCCGAGGACGAGGGCAAGGGTGATGCCGAGGATGATGCGCAGTTGTGCTGCATCGTGCAGGCATCCGACGGAGGTGCAGCCGAGGTGCCCTCCGCCCCCTCGCCGTCCCTCTCCATCGTCGCTGCCGTGGCCTCCACCCTGACGGTCGCGCCCAGCCCGCTCTCCCCGTCGCCATCCCCACTCCTCGCGCCAACGCCTACCTCAACCCTCGCCTCGCGGCCGCCGCCGCCGTCCACCGCCCGCCCCTGCGCACCGCCGTTCGCCGCCCACCCGTCCGCGCTGCGCTGCTGCCATGCGCACATGCGTCCGCGCGTTTGAGATAGAGAGATAGAGATTGGGAAGAGGTAGGGAGGAGATATGACAAGTGGGTCCCACCAACTTTTTTTAAAGAATATGCTAACTAGATTGCCACGCGTAAGCCACGTAGGACAAAACTGCTCTAGGTTAGGTTGAGGAGGGTAATTCGTCCGGTATTGAAAGTTCAGGGTGTGCAATGTTTGGTTTTCGGGTTCAGGGGGTTAATTCGGTCGACCGCAATAGTTCGGGGGGGGGGGGTAATTCGTACTTTTTCCTTTTATTTATAAAATTCTTGAAAACCTCTAGAAATAAAGTTAAACAAAGAGTAAGTGATTGTGCTCTATGATTCGTTCTGTCTCTCAATTACCCAAGATGAGGAGAAGCTAAAAGCCCCAACGGGAGTAAGGTAAGAAAGGTAAAAGTACAATTGCCAATTTGTTTAATTTCTAGGTAGAAGGATACGTTGTAGGCATGGTACTATTGTGGCATAAAACATGGTAGCAACTCCTGATCAACAACCTAAATTTTATCTTTACTTGAGGAGGAGCAAAAGTTTAGCTTGAGGGTGTTGTTAACGGCCGTTAAGTATCGGTTTTGACCGTTAACTACCTTAGAACAAATAAAGGGAGAACTAACATTTCTTACACGTATATTAGTACTAAATAATGTAGTTCCACTTGTTCTTGGAGAAATACTATGTATGCAGGGGTATGCTACAAATTAAGGAGAAATTGCAATGGCATGCGAAGAAACACACTTCCGACGAATCACGTGAGAGCACACGGATTAATGGGCATACAAGTCAGATCAAATAAAGCTAAAGTGGGGCCAAACCACAGTGCAACATTCTAGGGGTTCACACGTCAGCTCTTGAAGAAAGGCGATTGAGTGGGGTGGGGCCCAGGGTTCGGCCAAACCGCCATCACCTCCTCTCATATCCACCCTCCACGTGGCGCTTCATGGTTGCTTCCCGATGACGATTGTGCGAGTTACCGGCCTTCCCGTCATAAGCAACTATAAAAGGAAATCACTTCTTCTCTCTCAAAGCACACACTCAAGGAGCAATTCTCTCATTCCACATATTGTAGTTAGGCTTAAAGTAATCTTTGGTCCTCTTGTCTTCTCGGAGATTCCGGTATGTCTTCAGTACTTTACTCTTCTTGTAAGACTATAGTTGCATTAAAAAATTATCTTATTTACTTATTAGTGTTCATAGTTGATATATTAGTTTATTAATTTTGTGTTCTACAAACAAATTGTACTTCATTTAACTGTTTCACTTGATTATGCTAGTCGATCTATGCCATGGTAACGGTCCAATACTAATGGGTTGCACTAGCTCTAACTCATGACATTATTTATTAGCATAAACATGGTGTTTAGGTTAGTTAAATTCCATTGGATGCGGGTATACCCCACGGAAAGTGAGTTAGGCGGCAGGTGATGACAACTCTATCCGTCCTTTGTATTCCTCCACTTCTAGGTATGACATAAGAGTTTGTAAAATGTCATTACCATGTTGGCAGGCTAGCAGGGAGTGGTCTCTCAGTTGTACCAGGGTGCGCAGAACTAAGTCCTAGCCTTGTAAGCATGTATTTGTTAAGTGTAAACTGGATAGTAATATAGAAGTACAAATGAACCTTAGATCTCTTTAGTCCATCTTCACTGCCAAGTGTATCATTATTAGAGACGAATCTTCTGTGTCACACTAGCCTACTATTTATTATTATCTTAACCCATGTTTAGATTTTTGGTATATTAATTATAGCATGGTTACGATTTATGAATATATAACCCAACTCTGTATACCGCCGCATTCCCAGCAGAAAAACAAATATGTACCCTTGGGATACTCCTAGATGAAAGGCTATAGCGGTATCTGTGCGCTTGCGGATTTATCTATGATCTTAACAAATACCAACACTATATATATAAGAATAGAATTCAATTAAGGACAACAACGGATGATAGGCTTAAGCTAGAGAGGATTCATATGGATTAATTAACTGTACTTAAGTTGAGGTAAAACTCTATCGATTGCTTTGGACACCGGCTCTCCCATGATCTGCCAAGTTGAGCCGGCCTACCTAATTTTCTACGAAGCACACAACAAACAAAGGTAACCACTAATCTAGACACCACGCCTAAGTTATCAATTACTACTCTAGTCTCGCGTAGAAACTTCATTCTTTATGGAGAGTGCTAGTACTAGAGTACTTAATATAATAGTAAGCGACAAACCCACGACGATGAGAATGTACCTCACTTACGTAAGTCAATTAAGTACGAAAAGGAAATCTCGAACACTTAGTTTATTAAAGAAGTATTCACCGAGGTACAGGAGAGGAGAGCACGCCAATAACTCCAGCACTCCTCCGGAACCTTTCTCACTCTCTACCCTTTTTCTCCACACAACTAAAATGATGCCTAATGTATGAAAGTGAGTTGTACTCTATTTTGTTGTGTGTTTGGAAGTGAAATTAGCTCATCCTTTTATAGCAGCTTAATGGTCGGTTGTAGGTCGGTAGTTAAGTCGGTAAACACTCACAACCACCATCGTCAACCAATAGGAGATCGCCACATGATCGAACGCTGACAGTTAGGGGTGCCAACCCTGTTTTGTCCGAACCAAGCAAACAACCTCTAGCTAGGACCTCTCTTCTATGTCTGACAAGTCGGCCCATATGGCGGTGCACTATGGATTAGGTCAATTTCAGTCGTTTTGGACTGTCATGTGGGCCCTTCCAATCCTTGTGCTCCCATATGATTGGTCGAAGGTACATTTAATTCCTGGGTGAGTGCTAGAACTAATATGATAGATGTGCTCGGGCTCCTGGGAAAGAGGCCACTTGACATACTTGGTGTAGTGCCCCAAGGGTATTCCCTATCGCTTTTTCATAATTTTCTCTCTCCAAAATCGGATGGAAACAATAAAAAAGAGAGGCGATGTTCATCGGCAAATATCTATTTTTTTTTGATAGTGTCTTCCCTTAAAACTTGATTTTTGCGAAGTCTTCCGGCTAAAACCATGAAATTAGAGTGCCTTGTAACAAATTTAATTTGCCTAAATACAAAAAAGATCGAATGGAGATAGCATTAAACTTGCTCCATACGAATCATATTAGTTGGACCGTAACTCATAGAAAAAGTTGCAAGTTGGTTGACCTATCAACCCTCTTATGTTGACCCGTAAACCCTGTTATGCATTAAGGATTAAGTACCCGGCAGATCGTCACTACTCACGAATGCACAAATTTCCGGTACGTAGGATGGGATGAGTTGGTCAGAAACGGGCTCACCACGTCGCCCAACCTGCCGCGATCGAGCCATTGGCCGGCGATGCACGCGCTTTGACACAGCCGCCCGCCGCCCCCCGGCCCGCCCCCGCTCTTTAATAAAAACCGGCCGCCCCCTGTCAAAGGTGTCAAAGTGTCAAGTGCATCAGAGCTAAGCTAGCGGTCACCCAGTCAGCTCACCCCGAGACGCACCAGGGGATCTATCGGATCATGGCAGGTGGGAGATCGGGATCGCGGGAGTTGCCGGAGACGCCGACGTGGGCGGTGGCCGTCGTCTGCGCCGTCCTCGTGCTCGTCTCCGTCGCCATGGAGCACGGCCTCCACAACCTCAGCCATGTACCCGCGCGCGCACGCGGTGTGCTCATCTCTCGAGTTAATTTGGTTGTTGTTGTTGTTGTGTTCTTGTGACATCTCAATTAACATCCGATCCTGGTCGATCGATCGCCCTGTGGTGGCGCTACTGCTTGCATTGCAGTGGTTCCGTAGGCGGCAGAAGAAGGCCATGGGCGACGCCCTCGACAAGATCAAAGCAGGTCACCCTCAGCCTCAGCTCACCCTCAGCTAGCTCTTACTCCCTCCATCCCTAAATGTTTGACGCCGTTGACTTTTTTAAATATGTTTGACCGTTCGTCTTATTCAAAAAATTTAAGTAATTATTAATTCTTTTTCTACCATTTGATTCATTGCTAAATATACTATTATGTATACATATAGTTTTACATATTTCACCAAAGTTTTTAAATAAGACGAATGGTCAAACATGTTTAAAACAGTCAATGGCATCAAACATTTAGGGAAGAAGGGAATATTATATTGCTGCTCCCCTCTAGCCACTTTGCTGCCTCCCTCGTCATTTTTTCAAGTATTTTACGCAAGACTGGGTCCTCCAAATCAAACGTCACAAATAAGCCGTTTATAGTTTCCTTTCGCTTTTTAAGGGGGGACTACTTGTATTTAATCATGGAGGAAACTACCAGTCGGATGTCCGATTACTTAAAAAAAATTCGGGTGACTAATTTTTTTGGTTGATCATCGGTGAAATATTAGGTTATATATGTTAAAAAAAATCAGCCACAAACAATGAAATATTTTGTGAAACACATATTAGACACGTTGAAACGTATCATTGTTACGTATAAAACATCTAATGTTAACAGATTAAAACATATGTTTTTCTTTCATCAGAATATAATCATGCGATATATTATTGTAAAGATATAATTACAACGAATACAACGGTGTGATCGGATTATATATATATATTAGTAGTTTAAGAGAAAAATCATTTTGAAGATTACTAGATACATACACGTATAGATGGATGAAGTGGAGAGAGATTAGAGATAAGTAGTTATATGAATTTTGTGAAACACACTTAAGACATATGTTCAAACATACTGCTATTATGTATGAAATATTGAGTTTTAACGGTTTAAAACACATATTCTTTTAATTAGAATGTAATAATGTGATATCTTGTTGTAAAATTTAATTACATCTAATATAACGGTGTGATTAGATTGTATGTTGGATAACATGCCCATCGGTTGGCTTATTCAGGGAATAAGCCAAACGGTATATTTGCAAACGAAAAATAATTTGTAAATAAAACTTTTATGTATGTGTTCTTAACGATCTAGCAGCAAAGGCTGAAAAATAAACTTCGATGAAAAATCTCAAAATCAACTCTTAAAATTCAAATTTTGGCTTATAAGTATAGTTCCTAACTAGTTTAGAAGAAAAAATATTTAAAGCGGGGAAGAGGAAAAGGAATAAACTAATAGCTAAATTATTGCATGCATGTAGCGATTTGAGGACGACCGAGTTGTTTTGTCTGGATCAGCCGACCGAGACAGAGCAATCTTCTTTAATCATAAATGACCAGAAAAACCATACCAGTTCATCACAATGGACCGAGTCAGAGTCATTACATATTTTTCATTGTTGCGCACAGGATTCACCATGTTCTTATGGGAAATATTTTTAACTCTCAAATGGTTATGATTTTGAACTCTCATTTTTGAGAGAGAATTAACAAGCGAGCGAGCAATCAGGCCAAAAAGGAGAAAGAAAAATTATTTTTGTTAATTTGTTTTTTTAAGGTAGGGTGGAGGAGTCATTACATGATTTTTTTTTATATTCCCTCGTTGATTATATGCTGTTCAAATGGTTATGATTTTTTTAAAAAATAACAACAATACAAATTAGTATGTGATAGATCATTTCACGAGCATGTAGGATTAAATTTAACTTCTGTAAATTACAAAACAAACAAGTTTAACTGTTAATATACATTAAATTTGTTTTTTTTCAACTTAGGAATTGAATTTTATGTATATATTTGTAAAATGATATATTAATTTATTTTTTTAAAAAAATAATTATTTAGATGGCACACAAACTAGAAAACCACCGCAGTTCTCATATTTCTTGTCCTATCTGCACTTGCAGAGCTGATGCTGCTGGGCTTCATATCCCTGCTTCTCACCGTGGCACAGGCGCCCATCTCCAAGATCTGCATCCCCAAGTCGGCTGCCAACATCTTGTTGCCGTGCAAGGCAGGCCAAGATGCCATCGAAGAAGAAGCAGCAAGTGATCGCCGGTCCTTGGCCGGCGCCGGCGGCGGGGACTACTGCTCGAAATTCGATGTGAGAATAACACCAGCTGCCGGCAAGCACAACCTCGATGCAATAACTAATTTAACTATAATTGATTTTTCTTGGGTTTTCTGCAGGGCAAGGTGGCGCTGATGTCGGCAAAGAGCATGCACCAGCTGCACATTTTCATCTTCGTGCTCGCCGTGTTCCATGTTACCTACTGCGTCATCACCATGGGTTTAGGGCGCCTCAAAGTGAGTTTGTCGTTCTGTCCCTCATGCACATGTTTTCTCTAGTTCTAGCAAGATTGTCAGTCCTTCAAATGGATTGTTTCGACAAGAAACCCAATTTATTAATTTGCCAGTAAATATATAATAATTGGTCTTTCTTGGTTTTAGATGAAGAAATGGAAGAAGTGGGAGTCACAGACCAACTCATTGGAGTATCAGTTCGCAATCGGTAGTGAATTAAGAATCTCCCTAACTATTTCATTTCAGAACCTTTATGATAATGTCTTGAAAGAGGAGGAGCAAATCAGCTGAAAAATATGATCGATCCATGCAGATCCTTCACGATTCAGGTTCACGCATCAGACGTCGTTCGTGAAGCGGCATCTGGGATCATTCTCAAGCACCCCTGGGCTCAGATGGATCGTGAGTTATCAATCTCCGAATACATGCTTGTTTTTTATTCTTGCAACTGGCCTAGCTGTTCCAATTCAATCCATATTTTTTGAAAAAAAAAATATTCATGCCGTGTTTGTTGTTAGGTAGCATTCTTCAGGCAGTTCTTTGGGTCCGTCACCAAGGTGGACTACCTGACCATGCGGCAAGGCTTCATCAATGTATATACTAATCAAACCTGACCAATTCAACATTGATGATGCAAACAGAGACCAGGTTTTTTTTTCGAGTGTGCATTGAGTAATGGTTTTAGCTTCTTCTCTTTTGCAGGCGCATTTGTCGCAGAATAGCAAGTTCGACTTCCACAAATACATCAAGAGGTCTTTGGAGGACGACTTCAAAGTTGTCGTTGGCATCAGGTCCGTCCTCGCTTTATTAATTATAGGACTCTTATATTCAACATTTTTTTTATAAAGAAACATATTTAGTCTCCAGTTGTGTATGTGTATGTGGATCTTGACACATTTGGCTGGTTTTGCAGCCTCCCTCTGTGGTTCGTCGGAATCCTTGTACTCTTCCTCGATATCCACGGTAATCCTTGTCCTATTTCATTCTGTTTTTTACTCTCAAAACCTTGTTCTGAATTGGTCTTATAATCACCATCGATTTTTTTTCAACTTTTTCCCCGCGTGTAGGTCTTGGCACACTTATTTGGATCTCTTTTGTTCCTCTCATCGTAAGAGCGAAATTTCCCTGTCCAAAGAAACAGTTAACATAATTAATTATGCTTTAATTTATCATGAAAATTAATATGATCATATAACTAATGAACAAACATTCATGTGAATGCCACCGTTGTCTCAGATCGTCTTGTTAGTTGGGACCAAGCTAGAGATGGTGATCATGCAGATGGCCCAAGAGATACAGGACAGGGCCACTGTGATCCAGGGAGCACCTGTGGTTGAACCAAGCAACAAGTACTTCTGGTTCAACCGCCCTGACTGGGTCTTGTTCTTCATACACCTGACACTCTTCCATGTACATGTTTAAAACCTAAACCTTGCTGCTCAACTACAAATAGTACTTTATCTTTCACAATTAACACCTAATTAACTAACATAGCATCCATCCATTTGTGGCTACTGATCGATGGGACGACGGATCGATGATCACCAGAACGCATTTCAGATGGCGCATTTCGTATGGACTATGGTGTGTATGCTACTTGCTTAGTTGTTGCCATTATCAGTTCTTAAGCAAATTAAGTGTGATGCATGCACTGACTAATGAGACAAAAAATGACACAGCTTGTTCATCGATCTGGTTGTTTTGTGTGTGACAGGCAACACCTGGTCTGAAGAAATGCTTCCATGAAAATATTTGGCTGAGCATCGTGGAAGTCATTGTGGGGATCTCTCTTCAGGTGCTATGCAGCTACATCACCTTCCCGCTCTACGCGCTCGTCACACAGGTGAACAAGCCATTCACAAATTCTATTAGCAGTTTCTTAATTGACGACGCTGTTAATTTTTAGACACACGTTTTGACCATTTGTCTTATTAAAAATATTTATGTAATTATCATTTGAGTTGTTTTATCACTAAAAGTACTTTTTAAATAATTTATATTTTGCATTTGTACAATTCTTTTAATAAGATAATGGTCAAACAAGTGTCCAAAAGTTAACAGCATCATCTATTAAGAAAAGGAGGGGGTTTTTTTTTGGAATTTTGCAAAATTTGTTCAAAATCAGTCCAAAACCTTTTTTTTGTTTCGAAATTTCAGTTTCACTACCAGTCCCCATAAAATGTCTTTTCTTTATTTCCACAATATTGAACCCATGAGATGCCCTTTGTGTTGGTATGTGTTTTGGCCATCACTTGCAGATGGGATCGAACATGAAGAAGACAATCTTCGAGGAGCAAACGATGAAGGCGCTGATGAACTGGAGGAAGAAGGCGATGGAGAAGAAGAAGGTCCGGGACGCGGACGCGTTCCTGGCGCAGATGAGCGTCGACTTCGCGACGCCGGCGTCGAGCCGGTCCGCGTCGCCGGTGCACCTGCTGCAGGATCACAGGGCGAGGTCGGACGACCCGCCGAGCCCAATCACGGTGGCCTCACCACCGGCACCGGAGGAGGACATATACCCGGTGCCGGCGGCGGCTGCGTCTCGCCAGCTGCTAGACGACCCGCCGGACAGGAGGTGGATGGCATCCTCGTCGGCCGACATCGCCGATTCTGATTTTTCCTTCAGCGCACAACGGTGACGGGGGCGATCGGTTTCTGTATTGATGCTGTACCAAACATAGGAGTTTAATATATATATAATTGTTACGGTAAAATCTAATTATTGTGCGCGCACTTATATTAGTCTTATAGCGCGACTGGTTCGTGATTAGACAAGGTGATGCATGCTGTTTAGTTATAAAGGATATCAGCGCAGCTAAAAAAAACTTACTCCCTACGTTTTTAATAGATGACGTCGTTGATTTTTAACATCATTCGTCTTATTTAAAAAAATTTATGCAAATGTATAAAACATAAATCATGCTTAAAATACTTTTAGTGATAAAACAACTTACAACAAAATAAATTATAGTTACCTAATTTTTTTTAATAAATCGAATGGACACAAAAAGTCAAATATGTCATATATTAAAAAGGAGGTAGTATATCTTTTAAACTAGGTATTATTTTTTAATCCAATTACACCGTTATATTTATTACAATTAAATTTTTAAAACAAGATTTTACACGATTATATTTCGATGAAAAATGTATGTTGTAAATATTACTTTTATCATATATGTAAATTAATTTTAGATTAAATTAAATTACTCCAAAGATATTTATCAATTTATGAAAGTAAACCAATAAAGTCTAAAAGTAATTGAAGATGAAGCCAAAGAAGGGTGATTCAATGATGCAGATTAATTAGGGAAACCGTATGTACAGAAATAGATGAAAATGAAAGACTTACCTCCTGATTCTGAGGTGTGGGGATATAAATTAAGAGAAAAGCTATAAAACGGTATACCGTTAGGACAGTACAAATTATGCACGGCATCAAACCGTCCAACCCAGCGTCGCAAATGAACCACCCATCTCTCCTCCCGCATGGGTCCCACGAGCCCCACGGATTAACTCTTTGCGCATGCACTACTAGTACAGTACTAGTAGTACTCCGTACTATACTACTGCCTGCCATATACTATTGCATGCACTAGTAGTATAGGAGGAGTACATGCACTACTAGTCTACTATTGTCACGATCAAAAAATGACTACTCCTGCCTTGATGATGCTATTTGCATCAAATCGAAGTTAAAGTTGCCAATGACCATGAGCAAGAGAAAATGACTTGATTCTCTATTGCTATATGTGATCCTATGTGACCTGATGATAAACGGTCTTGTTTCAAGGTAAAATACGTGAGTATATGAGTCGTATCTAGGTATCATGTCTGGTACCTACATGTATCACGAGGTACCAGACATGATACCCAGGTTTCATGTATGATACTTATAAGTATCATGTCTGGTATCTACATGTATCACGACTGATACCTAGATATCATGTATGATACTTATAAGTATCAGACTTCGTAACTACATGTATCATGATCGGTACCTAGGTATCATGTCTAGTACATATAAGTATCAGATCTGGTATCTACATCTATCATGTCTGGTACTTACATGTATCACGACTGATACCTGGGTATAATATACGATACTTATAAGTATCAGACTTGGTAACTACATGTATCACGACCGATACCTAGGTATTATGTCTAGTACATATAAGTATCAGACCCGGTACCTACAGGTATCAACATAATACATATATGTATCATGCTTAGTACCACAAATACCAGAGATAATAGGTATCATACGTGATACCTTGGTATCAGACTGGGTATATGTTAAAACTGAGACCCACATATACCAGCTGATATGTGCTTGGTTTGCTACCCACATGTATCATGATAGATACTTTACGATACTTTCGAGGTACTATTATAGATAATCATATTTTGACATGTAAAAAATAGTATCATAATATAAGATACTGAGGTACCAGCCCAACCACTGAGTATAGCTATAATAACAATAACATGTCATATAGCTAAGCACGCAATTATAGAGGAGTTTGTAGTTATGTGTGACCAAAAGGATAGGCATTCATATAATCTATGGGTGCATGAGTGAGGAGCACTTGTCATGTCATGCATGGCAGATGCGCAGAGTAGTAATTAGCTAGTGTATTTGTGTATGTGAATTGCTTCCAAAAAAAATATACAGTATCCACGACCAGCACTAGCACATGCACGCAAGCTGGTGCGTGCCCGCCATGTGCATTAGGGTTGAGGTGTCCGACTAATGATTATATCGTTCTAACGGTATACCGTGGGTTAGCAAGCCTCTAAATTAATGGGGCATTTGTAAATTTGCCACCGTTTTTTTCAATTTTGCAAAGATGCCACTCGAATAACAGTTCTAGTGGTATTTTTGCAATTTTCTAGTGGCAGTCTTGCAATAACGATTGAAAGCAGTGGTAAATTTACAATTGCACCTAAATTAATTTGTGCTTCAGTTTGTCCTGCTGCATATGAACCATGTTTGAAAAACATCCTGTGCATGGAGATATGATTGCATACATATATGAGGAGAAAAACACTACTAGGTTAAAAAAGAACTGAATGCTAAGAAAATACTACTAAGGTTCAGTTGTATCATCAGACTCTGCATAGATAGTATCATCTTAACCATCGATCATTATGAATGAAAAAAATGAGAGAGCTCAATTACTGATGCATACCTGCAATAGGGCCATAAGGCACTTAGATGATCAGCTATGCGCAGTTTGCACGGAGATGCTAGTTAAACTTACCCATATGAGAAGCTCACTCAACCTAGCATAATAAACTGTCTAGTTGGGCGTCTCAACATGAACAACATGAGCGTAATAAACTGTCTAGTAGCTTTTTCCAAAGTAAAACTGGTAGATAGTGCATCAAAACTTGCTATGACCTAAATAATATGATTTCATAATTATGACCTAAGTAATATGATTCGATAATTATGACCTAAGTAATATGATTTCATAATTGCTCTCATGTACATACCACATTAGCTTGATTAATAGGTAGCAAAATTTCAAAAACTGACAAAAAAAACAAGACAAATATGACACACCGACAAAATACAAAACATAACATTTATGGTTCATATATCATGAAGGTGCACATATAATAGATTAACAGGTGCATACATACATAAAGTTCACCTATAATATATTTAGCGCACACAAATGACAAGGTCATACCATGGATCAACGTGTCCACATATGGTTTAGCACACAGCCAACAGGTCCATAGTCCTACAGATGATAGTTGCATACATGGCCCCGTTCGAATCTTTCAAACTGCTAAAATTCTGGATTAAAGTGTCACGCTTTTCAAACTGCTAAACGGTGTGTTTCGTGTGAAAACTTTTTATATGAAAGTTGTTCTAAAATATCAGATTAATCCATTTTTCAAGTTTGTAATAATTAAAACTTAATTAATCACATGTTATTACCACCTCATTTTACGTGAAACACTTAATCTTCATCTTCATCTTCGGGAGATTCAAACACCATCATAGAGATACATACATAGGAAAAAATCCATATTGCCCCATCAATGTAGCAGCAAGCTACATGTTTCATTTTGGCCACACGCCAGCTGCCCTTTCCGTCAGCATCATTGCCATTTTCATCAGCGCTCTTAGCTAGCTCACCTTGAAAGGCCACAATGGCATCATTAACGATTTCCTCCATGCTAACCAATATATTAATTTCACGAAATAGAAATTCTGAATCTACCAAACTTCTCAGTGAAGCATCACTAGTTAGCACAAGGTATTGTTCGGTACTATCAGGATATATTATGCTAGCTTTCTAATGGGTTCCCTATTAATAGTGTTCTTCAATCTCATTAATAATACTATGGCTTGAATTTTCTCTTTGATAAGTACGATTCATGTCCCCGAAAAAAAAAGAGAAGTACCATTCATGGTAAAATACACCAGTTGTCTCTATGAATTTCCAAATTTAAGGTCATATATTGTATATTTCACATACTTTTACTTAATTATACTCATGTAACCGAAGCATACTTTCACTTAATTATACAAGTTCAATACTTTTCTTTTGCAATACTTAAGAATATATTAAATATTAATGCTAAAAGAGTAAAGGTAGTACTCGACCAGTACCAAACTTCTCAGTGAAGCATCACGAGTTAGCACAAGGTATTGTCCGGTACTATCAGGATATATTATGCTAGCTTTCTAATGGGTTTCCTATTAATAGTGTTCTTCAATCTCATTAATAGTACTGTGGCTTGAATTTTCTCTTTGACAAGTACGATTCATATCCCCGAAAAAAAAAAGAGAGAAGTACTATTCATGGTAAAATACACCAGTTGTCTCTATGAATTTTCAAATTTAAGGCCACATATTATACATTTCACATACTTTCACTTAATTATACTCATGTAACCGAAGCATACTTTCACTTAATTATACAAGTTCAATACTTTTCTTTTGCAATACTTAAGAATATATTAAATATTAATGCTAAAAGAGTAAAGGTAGTACTCGACCAGTAAATGTTGTATAACAAAACGGCTTTGCTAGAATTGTCTCGCCACTTTTTCTGCCTCATTACAGTCAGTTCTTGTTCGGTCAGATTTTTTCCAAGATTAGTGCTGCTTCGTGTGAGTAGCTTTCGCACGTACTGTTGCGCAACAACTACAAGCCATTATATATTTATATAAATTTACACCATAGTTACACCCCCACTTAGTTATATAATTAGTATGTAATTTTAGGACTTGCATATGTAATTTTAGGACTTGCATTGTAGATGCACTAAAATCACATATGTAATTTATGGACTTATAATGTAAATACATGTCGACTATTTTTTTTATAAAAAATATGACGCCGTAAATATAGTTACTCCCTGTAAAAAAAATCACGACAGGACATGACATGCCGCAACTATCAAAAACAAAGCAAGCTTTGCTAGCAAGCGTATTGAATTACTGAACTAGTTCTACCTCCACAATTGCAAACAATCCTTTTTTTTTTTTACTTTTGCTAGTTATATGCCCGCACATTGTAATGGATCAGACGCATATTGATATAACTAGGAAAATACTCGTGCGTTGCAACGGGTGAAAGTTATTTTAATATTTTAATCTTGTTATTGTTACACAGTTTAGTTAAGTTGAAATTCACTGTAGGAATTCGCTTGGATATATATTATTCTAAAAAATCATGAGCGGTAATTAGGAGTTTGCTTGCTAGTTTTTTAAAAATGATTTCTTATACGACTCCTTCTGTATTTTCAAAAGCGAACGAACTTTAAAACCCGACTCAAATACAAATCTACCAAAGTACTGGTAAAAATATTTTAATTTTTATAATAGTAGATATTA